AGTGCACATCCTGCCAAATACACCTACCTAATCCTATAAATTAAAGAACAACTTACTTGCTTTAGTTGTATTTATTCCACTAAAACTGGAGTTAGTAGAAACAATAAAACATTGCTAATAGCCAACCAACATTATTTTTTTATGAAATTGGATTTACTACCTGACAGGAGCAATCGTTTTTTTCTTTTTCTTTCTTAAGCCATAGACAAGGTTTTTGTGATGAAAAAACTGAATTTATTAAACATAAAAAACTCAAAAATACATTTTGATAGAGCTTGAAGGAGAGTCAAGTTAAAAAAATGATTTTCTTTAGAAGTGCAAAAATTATAAATATAACTTTAGCAGGAACATATTTGTGAATAGCTAAGTGTAATGAAAGAAATATTGCCATTATGAAAAGAGGACAATATTTTGTCTGGTATCAATAATTAAAGAAATAACAAAATTAAGAGAGAAGAGCAATGTAACACTTCTTTCTTAGAAGTCATTAAGAGAAATAATCCACCATCTGTAATGTACAAGCAAAAAATGTAGCATAGAAAAGTTTAAATTCAGTAAAATTTCTACAAGAACAAATTTGAATGGTGGAGAGGGGGGTACTGTTGAAAAGTTGTCAACGCAAACCAATTCCAAAATTCTGATCAAATGAACAAACAACAGAATGTTTTTTCAAAGGGTTTCATGGTTAGGCTGAGAACATTTCAGCACCCTCTCATATAGGTTAGTTACATTACAAATGCCAAGCCTGTTAAAGTGAGACAGATTTAAATTCTATAAAGAGCCTTATCAATATCAGAGTTTCCATCCAAATGACCCCTTTAATACTTACATATCTTTTCATAAACAAAGGATACAAAACTAAACTGAAGATATTCTATGTGGGTCACATGATGAGAGCTTTTCAAATATTCGAAACCAAATCTTTGAATAGGGTCATGAATAATTCAGCTGCTGTAAAGTTTAATCCTGCTGGAAACCAATATAGTCATTTCTTCATAATTCTAGCATCCTCAACAATAGTGCTGCATCCTCAACAACTATATGCCACATTTATTGAAAAGCAGATTATCATGAGGAAGATTTTATTGATCATAGAAAAAAGTTAGGACTGAAGAGAGAGAGAGAGCGAGAGACAACACATTGCAAGTGGAGGACAGATGTACTTTAATTATTGTACATGTTTAGGAAAAGATAATATTAATGCCAGAGTTTCTTGTTCATTTCTCATTTTTGAAAATAAGAATACAGCAATAATATACAGCTCCTATGTCACTTAAAGAAAGGACTTAACTAAAATGTTATCTTCAATCAACAAAATATTTTATCTTATTTTACTCTATGTGAACTCCTTTAAGTACCAATTGAAAACCAGCAACAACATTGGAAATTTAAGCAGCTCATTGTTATGAATTCCTCTTCAACAAAATTAAGAATCCAATGTTAGCACCAGAAACAATGAATGCAATGCTCCAGCAGAAATATAAGTACAGCATATAGTCTATAGCAGCTATTTCAAGAACTGTTTCCAAAGACCATTAAAAAAGGTTTTAAGCCAAATACTTGCAATAAAGTTTTCATTTTCTCTATCAAATGAAGCCATTGGGACTTGTTAAATAGAAATTCTATTTCATATAATTATTGGAATAGTTTTGATATCGACAATATGTTTAGATAAAAAAAAAAAAAACTTAAATGGAAATCAAAATAAATATGTAAAAATAAATATTCCCAAATATTAAACCAACACATGTTGCTTGTTTAATTGTAGCTGCTGTGGCAGTAATTGACATAAAATCAACAAAGATAGAAATGATGCCAAAGTCGCTATCAAATTTGCAATTCAGGTGACATTTTCTTTTTTTTAACTGATACAAGCATAATGACCAATGATAATCACAAGTGTTCATTTTCTATATTTCAACACTGACAGCTTCTAATGGGTTGTACTGCCAATTCCAGCAGATTCATTCATTCTTCATGGAGAATATTAGAAGTGCCATAGTGTAAAAGCATTCTTTCTTACACTATATTCTTGGAGGAGGTCAGAGAGAAGCTTTCAACTTGTAAAAACCTTAAGCCCAAAGCAGTATTGGCTTTATATTTGATGGGATGTTGGGATGTAATAAATTAAACCCCATCAAGAAAACTGAGGGACTATATATATATATATATATATATATATATATACTAAAGTTGAAAAAAGAAAATTCAAAGCGTGTTTCCAAAGAAAATTTTTTGATAGAAGTTATTTTATTTTTGCCTTATTTTCTTTTGTATAGAAAACATTTCTTTTTCACACCAAGAAAAGAATACTGATGGAATTTGCCAACAATTAAACTGTCTTAATTTACTATTTTTAACATGAAGCATTATCAATTATTATTCCTTCATATTTTTTTTCATCCCAATTAATCATTCTACAGCCATAAGTAAGCAGATCACTGATGATCAATAAGAAAATAATTTCTCAGTGAAACTCACATCACTTACAGTGGTAATTATTCTAACCATTTTTTTTTTTTTAACTAGGAGAAAAGATCATATCTAACAACTAATCAACTTCTTCCTTATTTTAACAAACACCCTGTTGCCTGGCACTAGCATATTTGGTGTTATTGCTTTACATACACTAATAATATTAGTAGCCATTATTTTGAATTATTACCTTAGCCAAATACCCATCCTATGTTGTAATAAAAGATCTCTTACCTGTATACAATTTCTGTATAAACAACACTTTCAGCAAGACATCCATTTTATAAAGTTTATTTTGTCATTATGTGAAGTCCACTTGAATTTCCTACTCTGGACATTGCTACACAGAGGTGACCAGGAGAGAAACATCTGAATGTTTGTATTATTAATAATTAATATAGCAAACATACTATTTTTTCAGTTGTTTAAATGGTTTGGTACAGTTTTAAGAAAATCTAATTAAACAGATTATTTTGAAATATTTAGATAACTCTGTAATTCTGTTTCTTAGCTCTGGTCAATGAATTTGTAGTAAAATGAAATGGCAGATGACAATGATTATGAACAGAACCATGCCTAATTAAAGAATACAAGAGAAATTTTCATATTTTTTTCATATTTTCTAAAATTTTATACTTTGTTTATTTATTTACTTTGTCAGTTTCTTAAGAGTGATTTTTTTTATTTTATGCCTTTTATTAAATGTAAATACACTGATATTTTTTTTGATAAATTACAACTGACTTTTTACAAGACAGATAAATTCTTTCTATACAAATACAACGAATTTTAAGAGGAAAAAGAAAACTGGCTGAAATATTGTTTATATAGGGGAATTATTAAAATTTTAATTAAAAATAAATAACATAAAATATGTATTAAAATATGCTTTTAAAAACTGCTATGAAAATTAAAAGTTATTGGTTATGTTGTAAATTGTGTTTACTATATATATATATATATATATATATATATATATATATATATGAGAGATTATAGTTGTTTCAATGAAAGAAAAATGTATATTTTAAAGAGAAATGAGAAGCTGCAAATTCTTTTGGTTATAATGTGGATTTTTTTTTTTTTTATAGATTATATTTTATTTTCCATATTTTTTGCTACATGTTTCAGGTCTTGTGATCTTCAGGCAAAGAATGCTTATTTCCACATATTACTTAAAGGAATTAATTTTTTCTTATGTTTAACCATTGTCTTTTGTATGTGGTAGTAAGCCAAATTCTTGTTGGACTGGCTGAAAAATGTTCCTCTGCTTAAGGGGTACTAAATTGGTCAGAGAAAGGGGAAGGAATGAGATCTTTGTTCTTATCTTTTTGTCCTATGCATCTTTTTAAACCTTTCTCCATTTGTGTGTGTGTGTGTGTGTTTGCTAGTATGTGTATATACATAGTAGCAAAAACACACACATAAATGGAGAAAGGTGTGTGTGTATGTGTGTGTGTGTGTGTTTTGCTAGTATGTATATACACATTTTTTTTTCCATAAAACTTACTTTATTTCTCCATCTATTAAGATTTATTTTAGAAAAATTCAATATAATAATTATCCTGCATGAATATAAAATATAGAATTTTATTTTGTGACCAGCTAAGCAACAGATTAACTGTTTTTTTTTGTTGTTTAACAAGCAAAATAAGTCATTAGCATACCGACATTTAAATGGCTTACACACAAAAAATTAGCAGTTTCTCCTGTTATGTACACATCAATATTAACTTCTTACAAGCTTCCAGTAAATATGATTGTTCTTTATTTCACAAAACATAATTCTTAACAACAAGCAATTTGAAAGAAAGAAAGAAAAACAGACTACTGTCTATATTTAGGACTGGTCACAGTTTTCATATCAGTTTCAATGAGGAAACTAATACTATAATGATTTTTTAGTTTTAAATATCATTCTTTTTTAAATTATTTTCCAGTAAAATCTCAGCAATTTCATGTAAAAAGCATGATCTTTAAGCTGCTTTCATATTTTGAATACAATTTTTTCTACTTTCAAAAATATTCACTTCTTAGCCTTTCAAAGTAATAGAAGACCATTTTCCCTTAATTTCAGATCTGAAACTGATTTTTAAAATGTTATTTCATTTCAAACTGAAAGAAGTAAAAATCCACAAATGGCTAATAACAATCTTTATGACAAAAATTTACAAGAAGAATTTTTTTCAAACAGATTATCTGCCATCCCAGAAAAAACTTGCCCAATTCTTTTAAATTTCTATTTTTATGATTTCAAAAAGTAAAAAATAAAATTCAAATATCCATTTAAAACTTGCATAAGAAATTTAAAAAGTTTTTTTTTTATACATTTTATGGAAAATTTTCTTTGCCATTATTAGCTATTTCAAATAGGCATAACATCGTTATTCTTTAATACTTATCTGGCAACAGCAAATCGATTAATAACAAAACTAACAAGAATGGATTCCTTACAATAGAAGAAAGGCCAAGCAGGTAAGTCACATTTTTATTGTGAAAAATAAGTAAAAATTCAAAATACTTACTGGTCATCTTTTTCTACATTTAGCTCATTGATGTAAATGGATTCTAAAATAGCAAGTTCCTCAGAGACACCACTGAAAGATTAAAAAGAAAAAATACAATAAAAAGTCATTAAAAACTCATCAAGATAATTTTGCGCAAAACAAATAAACAACAAAGTATGACAGAATTAAGTCAATCAGCAGAATGATTTCAGTGAATAAAAATAAAATCCATTTTCCCAAAACTGAAAACACTGCTCCACTATCATTTCTTTTTGTCCTTACCAAAAGAAATGACCTCTTTAGTCTTAACATAAATCTTGTACTTGAAGCAATTTCCTCATAGCTAAAAATCTCTCTGCAAATTTAATTCTTTTTTTTTTCTCAAGGTTAAGCTATGTAATCAACAACTGCTTTTGCTTTGTGATTAACCTACCTTCATACTAACTATTCAACAATTAGACCGAAATTTGTCATGTTGCCAAACAGGTAAGCTTCAATAACCATGACTACATTCATAGAGTTCAAAAACAGAGTAAAGCTATTCAACAATAGAGGACACTTTACTGGCAGTAAGCAGTGGAAGAAAAAGAAAATCATTTTAATATAGCTAATAGGACACATCCCAAAAAGAATTGTATTTGGGACTTTGGCAAAAAAAAAAAAAAAAAAAAAAAAATTTTTTTTCCCTGCCATCCATCCAAGAACTTACGTCTACCTGTGAATATAAGCGGATGTGATTGTTTATAACTATGGCTCAATGGCGACAAAAGGATTTGGAGTGAAGAAGAATGTGTTGATAGTGCACAATTACATTTACATCAGACTTTATGACATCTTGCACAATTATTATTCCCTATAGGCCTTCTTTTTATTAAAGTAACAATTCTCAAACATGTCTATCTTTGAAAATATACTATCATTCAAGTAGTTTTTTTGTGTACTTTCAAAATCACCTGATTACTAAATTTTAAAGTTGAGTTTTCAAACATCCCCACACAATAATGATAAAGAAGAGCAAATATTTTCAATGTAAAATTTAAGGTTAGAATTAAGATAATTATTTTTCAAGGTGTTAGCTGAGTTGAGATAAATTTTTCCTTGTTTAGGTTTCTTAAGAAAAAGGATCATTTTCACATTAGGACAAAAAACAAAGAACAATTATAATGTCCAGTTCTGTCAAATTTTCTTAACTTTCAAACTGTTCTGTCAAAATCATTTTATATAAATCTTAATTTGCATATTACTAAAAGAGTGGTTGTGGTGTTGTTTTAAGAGTTGGAAGTAATTTTGGCATGAGAAAATATTATACACACATATTTCAAACTTGATTTCTTGGATGATAAAAAATAAAGTTGACTGTTTTTATATTTTAAATTTTCACTTTTTTTTTTTTTTCTTTTTCTTATTCCCTAAATTGATCAAAGACTAATTATTGATTAGATTTTCCTTCTCACTTTTATCTTTGAATATTGCATTAAATAGAATGTCTGTATTCTATTTGTAAAACTTGTAATTCCATTCATGCACAAGAAAATATGAATAGCTGCAGAGTAATTCTAAGGTTTTCAATAATAATCTACTCTTTTAAATCTAATATTGTAATAGCAGAGATAAACTTCAACACTGATGAGAGAATATATGAAATACTGAAAATTATATAAATTGATAAGCTCATAATCTTTTATATCTATATGAAATATTCCTTGTATTTACATTCATTATTAAATTGACAAATATTTTTATTTTTTATAAATATAAAATTAATCAACATATTGTAAGACAATGTCATTTAATGTAGAGAAATTCATCTTGCCAAAGAATTGTGTAACCCTCTTCCCTATAAACAAGTATACATCTCCAAGAATAATTTGTTTGACTCTCCCTTTGAACCTTTTCAACAAGCAGTATCACCCAAAAACTTTAATAAATAGACTGAGAAAAAAAAAAAAAAAATTTTTCAGTATAATTACACTGTTTATTTAAGTCATTTTTTCATGCAGGTTTTTCCTACATATAAAAAAAAAACCAATGCCTATAATCAAAAACTAATTTCATATTGGTAATTTTCACATTTCCATGAGTGTTTTTTTTCCAATATCAAAGAAATAATTTATACTAAATTAAAATTTTAACTCTTACTTTTCATTTTGACATGTAAATATTGTACTTATAAGGTCAGGAAAGACTAATCTTGAACAAGATTGGTCCTGCAGACCTTTCTTTAGTGAGTTTCATCCTCACTGGATGCCCTTCTACTTTCATCTTGAACAGACTACATTACATAATATCTTATCCCAAATTCTGATTTAGGGAGTGACAAAAAAATTAAATTAAATTTTTAAAAAAAAGAAAAAAAATAAAGCGAGAAAATGCTTAAAAATTAATAAATATTCCTAAGAAGACCATTTTTGATTAGAATAACAAAAAATTAATTTTTTCTATTTGTATTTAGCCAAAACTTTTTTAAATTTCGAAACTATCCATGAATATTGTTAAATTCCATTCCAGCATTTTTCGACATTGTTTGCACTTATTTATAACACTTTTCAAAATCTTTATGGTGCCATGGTGTCATCAAAATTACATTTGAAACAAAGTCAACAAGTTCAAAAAATATACACAGTCTACTTAGTTAAAGTTTAAATTAGTTTTTCAATCAACTTTTCAGCAACCCTGAATATCACTCAATGAATAAACATCAACTTACAAAGACACCCAACATGCAATCTGTCCAAATACAACAAGAGGTTCAGAAGAATGGAGATGAATTAGGAGGCTTCAGGCAAGAAGATTTGGACTAAACACGCTTCACATCACCATTGCTGGGAAACATTAACCATGCTTTATTCATTCATCACAATAATAGACCAAATGCTTATTGAGTTCACAGACTTAATAACAATCACAAATAAACATCTTAATACTTGTAAAAGAAACAGACACATTTTAAAAAAGAAAATCACTAAAGAACTTTTTTCCTTTTTTTTTTTGCTCTTCAGTCAGTTTTGATTCCAATCATGTTATAAGAAACCTAACTGACTCGGTAATGGATTTGAAATGACACACCTTCCTATAGTAAGCCCTATGCAATATTCAATACTGTAATGGAAAATCACAGAAATTTCATTGTGCTTCAACTTCAAAATTATGGGAATATAAGAGCAGTATTATTTAATGTCTTTTTCATAATGAATTAATGAGTTACAATACAGAAGGGGCAACAATTCATATGAATTGAACACAATGCCATTCAGTATTTAAGATATAAATCAAATTATTTGAATAAATTCCAATAAAAGCTTCTTTTTTCATGAATGATGTTTTTTGTTTGATTTTATTTGTTCATATCAATAGATATTCTATAATTATTCACAAAGCTCTAGCTATAAGGCTAGAATATGTAGAAGGAAAGATTGTGTTACACTGAAATCTATCAATCAGGGAGAGCCTGCCTACCTTGAAAGCAACTCTACTTAAACCTTCTGGTGATTTAACTGGCTTCAATACCTAATATTTGTAAAAATGAAATAGATATGCAACTGGATCAGCCACCAAGCAAACCAGATACCAAATCCAAGATATTATCCTATATTGAATCAAATACAAAAACTCCTTGTCAATTTCCATCTGTGTAACAAAAATAGGCATTAGCCTAGGACAGTCATGGGCAAACTGCAGCCCAATTGGCTTTCTGAATGACACACCTAGTATCATGAGGAAAATAACATTTATTAAAATGTTGTTGGTTTCTTTTCATTCTCACATATGCATACATACACTCTTATGCATAACCACATACATAAACAATGATTAAGTACAATGTTTCTTGAATTCTGTTGTAAGTTTGCCTTGAAGGTAACATTTTCATCATTTTAAACCATTCGCGATTTTCACAAAGGAACATTATGCATGTAAACATCTTTTACTTAAGAAACAGGAAACATCAATGATAATTATTTTAATATACCTCTTTTACAAATATTTTTGCATAGCCAATAAGTTAGAAATAAATCACAGAGAGCAGTGTATGTTAATTACTGTGTCATCAGTGATAATATAATACAAAGTTTTTTTTTAATTATAGAAGGAATCTTTACTCAAATTAAAAAAATAAATAAATAATTGACACTTCCCCATTTCTAAGGCAGATGCTGATATGCACATCTTTTGTTGGCAAAATGGCTGCAGTATCTTTAATATAAATTTCTCTTGATTTCTTTTTAGTAGTGTGGCCTACTTTGTGATGTACTGTACCTCATGTGGCTCACTGTTCAAAAATGGTTGTCCATGCCTGGACTATGAGCTACTGTTGCTGACAGATGTCAATCTATTATAGACATCTTTTGTCAGCCAGATGTATAATGCAGAATATTTTTATGAAAGAGATTTTATCACTATCTAAAAAAGCATTATGTTCATTCGTTTCTCAGAAAATTACAACACTTGAAAACAAAGTACAAATTAGATTGTCACAGTGGGTGAGGATATTTTGAAACTGCAAAATACTACATAAACTTTTTACAAACAATGAATGTTATTTTGAATCATTTACTATTCTATACAGTCGGAAAAAGAAAATAACTTTCTAAATTCTATTTCCAAGACCCAGGAATACAACTGAAGAAAATATTTTTATTTGTGGAATTCATATAAATCCAAAATATGACTTATATATCCTGAAATATTTATAACATAAATATTACTTGCTCTATCCTGCAAATAGTTCATCTGCTTTCTATTATATTATGCTTGCTTGTAAGAAATTACAATATTGTACAAAAGAAGAAATTTTCTATGACAATCTAACCATCAGTCTATTATCAATGAACAGGGAATTAAAAAGATAAACAAAAAAAAAAAAAAAAAGAAAACAATGAAGATACCCAAGCAATAAGAGGTAACAAACAAGAAAGTAAAACAAATTGCAGTGACAAAATATTTTATCTTTTTAATGATTTTAGCAACTTTTTTTTAAATAGAATATATAAGAATGCCCCTAAAATATTATAATGAGATTGAATACTTTTAATATTTCTGTAGTAACAGAAAAAAAATAACTTGCTTAGAGTGGATCAGAACAAAACTTTATA